CTTCACTGTAGTCTAATTAATGTTGCCATGGAGATTATCTATTGGTTAAAATGACACGCCAGTTATGTTAGATATAGCATGGAGGTAGTGAAAGTTTCATTGTTTTAATAATTTACATTCTTGCTTGTTTAATCAAATGATAGGGTCTCTATGACTTTAATCCTTAAAAATCGATTGGCAAATCAGCCTGAAGTAAAGACGAAATTCAAGCATTTCTCTACTTTTCTCTAACGTGGTTTCAGACGTCGTCGGGTTCAACAGTGTAAATTGCAAATTCGTCGTAGCCTCATTAAACTTAAAACACTTCTCAAAAATATATGTTGCTAATTTAAGGAAGAAATTTGTAAGGTTTATTTAGGTTTGACTCTAAATAAAACCGTGAGGGGGTTTCCTGTTTGTTTTAAATGAAATTTTTAATTAAAACTATCAGTTTTACTGAGCCTGTTCATGTTTCATGCATTATGCAGTTGTGGGCGATATGACGTCATCACAGCCAAAGCACATGTTTGCACACCACGCCACAAAACAAATTAACTAATTGGCGGGCAGCGTTTAGGAGGCGCTGCCTGTTGTTTACCAGAGACCAGCCTGTGGCATCATCACGACGAGACGAAGGATGGGTTTAGAAAATTATGTCAGACCGAACTTAACAATGATAAAGAAACATCTATTATTATTGCCAAACACGAAACAATTTATACAAATTTATTTGTACGTTCATTTGAATATTCATGTATGTTCATAATTGTTGAATGCAGTTATTTGGCAGTGCTCAATAAACTTATAAACATGCGTGTTAACAAAATATAATCAGTGTGTGTGGGTGTGTTTGTAAGTGTCTTGTTTGACTTGCAATAAGTTAAATGTCTAACTATGCATTTGGAAATGAGGAACAGACAATGAAATTCGTATGAGTATCGAAGGTGTAGTGTGGTCGTAGTACCATGGAGGTATTATTGAGAAGGAGATCACTCGGCAACAGATCCCTTTGACGCGACAAACCTATGTGTTCCCCGCTTTTGGATCGCGCGCGGGCGTATTACCCTATACTTCACATTTGTTCGTTAGCAACTACTTGGCAACGACATGCATTTATACGCTTCCAGCAGAGCAGTTGTGCAATAAAACGTTTGATTTTAACCCATCAAATATCTTTATAATGAACAATGTTCCTCTGATTAGATTTTTTCGGGCTTTTGGTATGTTATTATTATTATTTGTATATTTCAGGAGCGGATTCCGTAAAATATTTGTGTTAAAATTACTTCTGTGTTCATTATAATTTTGTCTAAAGATTGACTGGTTCGACTATAAAGCTAAATCAGTGTAAAACTGAAAAATACTCAGATTTTGGATTCATTTTTCGAATAGTTAACCCTCGTTAACCCTAAAATGACTTAGTTTATTATAATCCTTAATCATTTATTAATTAATATCTGTTAAAATTAGAATTGGCGAATTTTGGCCAATTTATGAAAATTGAAGTTGAAATATACTATACTTTTATAGGTCATGTAAATGTTCCTGTGACAACCTGTAAATAATACCCCTATGGACCAAATGGTTGAACCTAGGAAAGTAATCTATGTAGATCGGTTTGGGATGGTGTAGGGTATCATTAAATAACCTTCCACTGTATTGCCAACAAGTTGTCTACATTGTATTATTTTCAGGTATGTAAAGAAACTTTCATTTTAAATAACTTTCTATTATTTGTTAACTTGA